TCGCCCAAGGTGTTGTCCGGGGCCTCTCCACTCCCCTTCTACCCATCCACCTTCCTGGGAGCAGCAGGAGCTGGTGGGAATGGTGGCTTGGAGTGGCACCTCAGGCCTGTCAGCCCTGGATGGTGAGCTCGATGCCCCTGGGCAGGACAGGAGACCTGCGAGAAGGAGAGCCATAGGTGGCGAGGATGTGAGGGACACAACAGCCAAGGATGACCAGGAGGTGACAGGATACCCAGAGGACCTTAGCATCACCAGCTGGAATTCCTCTGGTGACAGGTGATGCGATTTCAATGGAGTAGGGCCTGGAGGTAGATGAGGGTGGGGAAGTTTGGGGCCAGCCTTGTCGAATTCGTCCTAAGACCTGCTCAGTGAAAGGCCCGTGTTTGGTTGAGTCTGTCCACTAGGGGTTTCTCAGCTGAGAAGCTGGCCTGAGGAACTGGGACCCAGGGCAGAGGGCAGCGGGGCTGGACAGGGGTGCAGTAGGGCAGCCCTGGAAACTTCCTGCCCAGTGGTCTGCTGGTCTGATAGAATCAGTGAGCCGAGAGCCCTCAGCCCCTGTCCAGTGCTCGAATCTGGCTGTGAGTAAGGAGGGGAGGGAGGGGAAGCGGGATGTCCTGAGTGGAGCAGGTCCCTGCTGGCTCTCTGCAGGGCAGGGGCTCCTCGCCCTCCTGGCTGCCATTATCGGAGCCGGGATCTTTCTCTCCTTGATAGGGGTAGATGGCAACAGAGAGAAGACTTAGTGCTGTGTTAGTTGAGTACCAAAGGGTCATCCTCCCGTCCACCCTGTGGGGCCTAGAGATGCCCCCAGGAGACAGAGGAGGCCAGTGGAGGCTGCGCTCTCTCTCCACCCCCTCGGTGTTACCTGAATGCCTGTCTCATGCTGGGCTCCCACAGGTAGAAAGCAAATGCTGAAGGGAAGGGAAAAGCACGGGGGTGTGAAGACAGTCTAAACAATGATTCGGAGGTAGACAGGAGACTGGCGTGGCTGCTGGGGTCCACTTAGACCAACAGGAAGTATCAAGGAGTTGATTCAGTGGGCAGTTGAGCCCAGCCAGTGGGCCTGGTCCAGAGCTGGACACCGGGATCCCACAAATAAGTGACCATTACAGAGATGACAAGTCCTCGCTCATAGAGGGACAGCATGGGAACAGCAGCGCGGCTGCAGTTGGAGAAGGGTGGTGCGGGGCTGGGAGTGCCGATCAGGAGAGCAGGACCTCCAAGAGGCTTGTAAAACCCGAGTGACGAGTGACGCGGGAGACCTGCCGGCTTCGAAGTGCCAGGTGCCGGAGCCACACTGGCCAAGGGGCAAGGAAGGTGAGGGCAGCCAGGGTGCAGCAGACCAGAGCGACTCGGTGACACCTGAGTAGTCTGGGGTGAGAGGAAAGAGGAAATCAGGAGTATCTGGCGGCCCATCAGGAGTATCTGTGCCCTTAGGCACTGCTGGAAAGACTGGAAGATGGAGGACGGAGGGGAGGTGCCTGGAGGGCGCTGCTGGCTTGAAATGCCTCTGGAACTATCCCCAGAGACCCAGGTCTGCCTTCAACACTTGGCAGGTTCCCGAGCACCTGCTACAACGGGTGTGGCGCTGGTGAAGGCCACACACAGTCCTGCTCTCAGGGAGACAGGACCCAGGCGGCACAGTAAGAAGAAGGAAGAAGGCTGCAGAGTTAGGGGCTGTGAGGGGCTGTGAGGGAAGGACAGCAGGAACCTACCTGAGATGGTGACCACAGGAGGCCTCTGAGACCTGAAAGATGAAATGAGCTGAAGGATGACATGGTAAGAGCTGGGGGCTGAACACAGGGCTTGAGGTGATGCTCCCCAGGGAGGAGGAGGCACAAAAAGAGGCAGCAGGTTCTATAGCCCACCCCCTGCCCCCAGGCTATGACAGGGGCTTTGGAATTTCTAAGTGTGGGGAAGCCAATAATCCATTCCCACCTCCAATGTGGGGCAGAGAGGAGTCAGAAGGCCAGATGAGGACCGGCTGGAGGTGCAAGTGGGCAGATCTGAGCCCTGTTTTGAAGGCAAAGGCAGCAAAACTCACTCGCGGATCAGGTGTGGATGAGTCAGGGGGTCTCCCAGGTGTGGAGCTGTTGAGATGGTAGACGCAGGAGCTCTATTTGTTGTGAATTTCATTCGAATTTTGTCTATTAGCCATGGGGGGAGGGAGGGCTACAGAGGCTGTGGCACGTGGAAGTCCAGAGCTCAGGGACAGGAGATGTGAAATGTGACAGTCAGCCTTGGCTGGTAGGGAGCCATGGAGGAAAGTTCTGGGCAGGCCAGCGCTGAGCATCGGGTCAGAGGCAAGGTGCAGGGAGAGAAGGCACCGTGACAAGAAAAGCAGCCCCTATGGTGCTGAGAAAGCTGAGGCAGGGTGACCTGGGCAACGGCAGTCTCAGTGCAGTGGTGGGAGCAAAAAGACAGGCGTGAGTGGGAGGAAGTGATGTGGGGAGAGGGGCATGGATAAGTCTGGGGGAGCTTGCTCCAAAGTGTAGCTGAGGAATTGGGCAGTACCTGGAGGGGAAGGACGTTCAGGGGAGTGTTGGGGGTCTTTTAGAGACAGGGTCTCACTTCGCTCTGTCACCCAGGCTGGGGGAGTGCAGTGGTGCCATCATAGCTCACTGCAGCCTTGAACTCCTGGGCTCAAGCAATCCTCCTGCCTCAGCCTCCCCAGGCACCGCCCACTATTATGCCTGGCTGTTTTGTTTTTAAAATGAGATAACTATGCAGTTACTTCTAGTCCCAGATTCTAAAATCTGCAGGCTAGATAAGTGGCAGCAGGGGAAGCCGAGTTACCTTGCTTTAGAAAGCCATTAAGTGCCTTGGGGAACCCAGCGGTCATGGTTCTTGCGTCCACAGCCCATTGAAGTCCCTCAACCTGTCTACCTGTGTAAGGACCCAGTGGGGCACAGGCAGGGAGACCGTGTTTGCCCTCAGCTTCTGATCGCCACGGCACAGGACACAGGTGGGAGGTGGAAAGGAAACAGCCTCTGATAGTGGGTCAGTCCAGAGGCAGCAGGGGCGGAGACAGTCAGGCAGAAGGGGGACCATAGGTGACTGGGGGAAACTTGGCTGTGGCTCCTCTTTCCTCAGTGAGCTGAGGGGTGAGGTCCTCAGATGAGGGCAGAGGCAGCTGTGGTGAGGGGAGTGGGAGGCTGCCCCTTCAATCCAGGGTGCTTGCCTGGAACCCGTGGGCTGGAAGGACCAGGTGTTGGGAGCTGCTGGGAGGCAGATGCAGAAGCCCAGGCATTCCCAGATAGGAGAGGCTGGTGGTGAACAGGGTGGCTTTTCAGCAGTCCAGCCGCCAGCCAGCCTGTCCAGCCTTGCTCCCGGGCAATGTCAGCCTGTCTGTTTTTCAGCTCCCTCCAAGCGGCCATCCCCTGCCCAGGACACAGGGAGTATGTGCCTCGACTGGAGCTCTAGCTAGAGGGTGTCTAGACAAGGCCCAAAGGGGTGCACATAGTGATCCACTGTCTCCTCTCTGGGCTTTCTCACCCCAGCCCTGAATCTGTTGTCAGAGTCTACTGGGGCAGGTCATGGACCAGATGTCTTCCCCAGTGCCTCCTGGAGTAGTGGGAAGGGGGTGTGCTCAGGGCTGTCCCCTCAGACTGTCCATCCAAGAGAGGTACTCCATGGCTTTGCTCCTAATCTGCTCTTACCTTGCTGGGAGGGGAGGCTGGGTCAGCCTTGCTCACCCCATCCATGCATGAGGCTCCTTCAACGCCAGGAGCCCCTGGGGGCTGCTACTCTGCAGCCCCTCCGCAGAGGTGGGCTTGTCCGCTGGCTGCCCCACCCGCCTTCTTTCCTGGCTGGGGGACAGAAGCCAAGGACAACGTCCCAGCGGGGGTGAGGGGGCAAGCGCCGACGGCCAGAATGTGAAGGGGGTTGGGAGGTTAGCACTTTGCAGGGGTGTGTTCCTGGGTCATTCGGAGGCCCGAAGGCTATGGAATCATTTCCTGAGAAGCCACCAAGGGTCAGGCCAGGGGTTCATCGCACAGGCTGGATTTGCCAGACCCCATCGCAGCGCGCGCCCGCCCGCGCACCGCCGCCTCCTACACACGCACACGTGCGCACACACACACACACACACACACACACACGCGCGCGCACACGCACATACACACGCCGCTCGCAGGAGACAAGGCGCCGGAAAAGGCGCGTCCCCAGGCTGGGCTCCCGCCTATTCAGGAAGGGAGACGGGGCGTCGGGGCCATTTTGGGAAGGAAAGAAGCCGAGAGCCACGACCTTGACCTAAGAGAAGGACGAGGGCGCGACGAGGCCAAGAGAGAAGCTTCGAGGCGCGTAGCTAGCAAACTCGACGTGGCCGAGGCCGGAGAGCGGCCGGCTCCGCGGGCCATGGCGTAGCCCAGGGAATGCGCGCCGGCCCGTCTAGTTAGTCTGGGCGCGCTTCCTGGAGGAGGAGGAGGAGGAAGGAGAGGGTTTACCGGCCGAGCCACCGGGATGAACGGAGGAGGCGGGGCAGCCAGCGGGCGTGGCTCTGCGGAGGCCCCCGGCCGAAGGGAGGAGGCAGGGGCCGGCCGCGCACTTAAAGCGGACGCCGGGGAAGCCCTCCCGGGACTCGCCGCAGTCACACAGCTCCGTGGGTCCGTGGGCCCATCGAGCCTCTTCCCAGAAGCTGCCCAGCCCCGCCCAGCCCCTAACCCCGCGGCGCTTGGTCTGGTGCGCACCGGCCCGACGGAGCCGGGGGGTACGCGGTCTGGCCAAGTAGCCGCGGGCGCCCGGGAGCAGCACGCCTTGGGTCGAGCAGCCCTCCCGCGAGTGAGGACGCGGGTCGGGCGGACGGGACCCCGCCCTTGGCGGCACTGCCTCCTGCGCCGGGGCGGGGCGTGTGAGCGGCATTAGGACCCAGTCGTGGCGCGGAGGTGTGTCGCCGGCTCCCGCTGCTGGCCCGCCCGAGACGCCAAGTTTGGGGTCCGGGGCGCGGGCGAGGAGCCGGGGCGTGAGTGCGTGTGGAAGCCGTCCGGCGGCCAAGCGCCCGGGCCATGGCCACGGCCACCAGGCGCTTGTTCCATCTGCAGCCGTGCGGTGGGTGCCTGAATCCGCGGGCGTGGCGGGGGCGCGGCGGGAAGGCCGCCCGGGTCGCGGCGGCCGAGGCGCGCTGGGCCGGGACGCGGAGTCGTCGGGGGCACCGGGGAGAACGCGGATGCCGCGGGCCTGCGCGGGCCCGGGGCGGGGGCGAGAGGGGTGTGGGGGCTTCCCGGCAGAGAGAAGTGGCCCGGGTGCGAGTGCGGCCGCGGGAGAGCGAGTGCGGCCGCGGGAGAGCGAGAGCGCCGGTGGGTGCGCGGGTGCTGTGGGAGGCCGGGACGGCTCTGCGGGCGCTGCGCGCTTGATTTAGTTAACGCTGGCTGTCGCCGACTTGAACTTCTCAACAGCTTTCGAACTAATGATGCGGCCGGTGGAGGGGCGGGGGGCTCGGGAGCGGGCAGGGCGGCGCTGTGGGGTTCCCAGCATCCGAAGCACCGGGGCTCTTCTGAGCCGGCCGCGCCGCCGCCTCGTAAGTCTCCTTTTACGTCCTGCCCGGGCACCTTCCCGCCGGCGCTGCGGCGAGCCCGCCTGCTCTTGGGGGTCCCGGGGCCTCTGACCGTGCCCTGCGTGGTCGCAGCGGTCTCTGCCTCGCTCCGACGTCCGAGGGCCAGCCCGGGGTCCCGGCCGGGAGCCGGGTTTGTGCGACCATTTGCCGCACATGGGGCGCGGAGTGTGCACCATCCCCACTCTTCCAGACCCTTGTCCCCGTGTCGGCCATCCATCCTGCGGCCTTGGGCGCCGGCCTTACTGCCCCGCCTCCCTCTGGATGCAGCCCCGGCTCCCACCCCGCGCGTACTTCCACATCCTGCTCCCCGACCCCCTGGGTCTCCCAGTCTGGAGGCTCTTTCCTCTCGTACACGCGGCCCCTCCTGTCCCTTCCTTCCTCGCACGGCGCGGCACAAACAGCCCGGACCATCCGGGGCCCGGCCCGGGGAGGGCGCGCGGCTCCCCCCACCCATGTGTGCCGCACACGCTCCCCCACCCCCGCTTTGTCTCCCTTCTGGACCAATGGCTCCGCCTCCAGGCGGCCCGGGCCGGGGCTGGGGCCCAGGGGAGGAGGCCGTTGCCGGGTCGCCCCCTGTGACCCGGGGCACGCGGGGCGGGCGGGTAAGGGGAACTGGGCAAGTAATGGACGTTTATGGCCCCCGGAATGGGGCTGAGAGACAGAGAAGCGACAAGCAGAGAGGAGAGCGCGGGCCGGCACCTGAGCCCAGGTGCTGGGCTTGGCAGAAGAGCCAGGCTGAGAGGCCACCCCCAGCCTCCTCCCTCCCGCCTCGGCCTGGGTTGGATTCACTCAGAAAAGCTGAGATGAAAGAACATGGTACTGTTCCTAACTTGGTGGGGAAAACATCCCCAGAACGTCTCTCCTCCTTGCCCCTCACCTACCTGGGCTGCTGCGGCAGATGGGTTGAGGAATGGAATTCCTTACGTTAGGGCTGGCTTCCCCTGCCTCCTCATGGGGCCCCCTCCCTAGGAGTGTCCCCTGCCCCTCTTTCTCACCAGAATGGCCTGGGTTGGGTCCCTGGGAAGGGTAAGAAGGAATGGCAGGGTTGGTGTGGGGTGGGGGGCAGGTGAGCACAGGAGAATGCCCAGGGCTGGTCCATGGGGCTGGTGACAATTCTTCGGCTTCTTTTGCAGAAAACGCTTCCACCATGTCACAGAATGGATACTTTGAGGATTCAAGTGAGTACCTCTCAGTGAAGGGGTGTGTGTACAGAGAACTTGTTAGTCAGAAGCCTCGAGGACACCTAGCCCACCCACCCACGTCCCCATGGCATTGGCCACCTGTCTGTGGTTCACTGCTGGTGCTGGAATGCCTTAGGATACCACCGCCCAAGAGGTTGTGGTGAGGAGAGCGGGCAGCCTGGAGGTTGGACACTGGCAGGCCCCTCGTGGCCCTGTGGTCCTGGGAGGGCAGGCGCACCCTCTGGTGTTCTCCCCTGGTTTCCTCTCACGCCTGCTCTGTTACCTGACTAGCCTCAGGCCAAGCTCTGTGTATGCCCCTTAACCCTTAGTCCTTACCCAGCCCTGGAGAGAGGGGCTATCATTGTCCCTGCTTGTACCAGTCTAGCTGTCCTCCCCACGTCTCTGAGCTCTGTGCTGCCTTTCCTGTGCTTAGCCCCATGAGCTGGCCTGTCAGAGCGTTGTTGAGTGGGACAGTGCATAGACATAGTGGTGACGTGCTCCGGGCCTGGGGATTCTGTGTGCCAGGCTGCTGGTGGGCCACTTAGGTATGTAGCTGGGTTGTGGGATGGGGGATGGAGACATGGCATGGCAGGAGCCCTCCAGGGACCTGACCTGGTAGCGTCAGCTAGGGAGGTCCTTAACTAGGGGAGAGCTACAGCTGAGAAAAGTGGAGTTCAGGGTGGGGGACAGTGGGTGCTGGTGAGGGGCAGAGGGGATGTGGGGGCAGGTTGGGGCTGGGGGAACCAGGTAGTTTAAACAAGGCAGCCCTGGAATGAGGAGGGAGCTTGTCATGAGCTCCATGACAAAAGCAGTGAAGACGTCTTTCGACCTAATGGTTCTTCCCTGGGCTCTGAACACCGTGCATGCCTGGGGCTGCGGGTCACCAGTCCCTGGGGTCTTTAACATGGGAGGGGCCCAGGCTGAGCTCAGGACATTGGGGGTACAGGGATGTGCCAAGGAAACTGGCCAGCAGGAGTGGAAGTGACTCAGGGTGAGTCACTGCTGGCAGGTGCAGGCGTGCTGCTGACCCGTCCCTGGCCCTGCACAGGTGTTTATCAGGGGGGTCAAGGGCCCCTTTCCTGGGAGCAGCCACAGTGGGGAACCCACAGAACAATCAAGAAGAGGGGCCATCTGGGCCCGGAGTGAGACAGGCCCCTAGGAGGACTTCCCAGAGCAGAAGGTTCCAAGTGAGCCTCGAACAAGGCCCTCCAGAGGGGGAAGCCCTCGGCTGGGAAGACAGGAGCTGGCATGCCTGGGGTGCTGGCCGACTGGCCTGAGGAGCCGGCGGTCAGGACACGGGTGGCAGGGCTGGCTCAGACTGTGATCTCGTAGGCTGCAGGGAGCATGGCGGGGCTCAGGGAAGAGAGGAGCGTGTGCCTGTGGCCAGGACACATCCTCCATGTAGGAGGCTGTGCTGTGGGGCAGACCAAGAGAAAGGGGAGCAGGGGTGGGCACTGTGCTCTGAGGTCCTGCATCCCAGGGGTACCATGACACACCCTGGCACCATGGGGGAGGGGCACGATGGGGCAGGGCGGGATGAGGCCTCCTCGGAAACCCGGTCCCCTGCCAGTCCCTGGCTGTTTCTCTGGCTCTTTGCTTTCTGGGTCCTGTCTGATGTCTGGACTCTGATGAGCTCTAAGACCCTGTGCCAACAAGTCAGCAGGAGAGGGTAGCCGTCTAGGTACTGTAGTGGCTCTGTCTTCCCTTGAGTCCCCTAACGTGGGGGTGCTGGGAGGGCAGGGGCAGGGCAGGCCTGTCCGCATCATTATACCCCATGTTTGGACCTAAGTTTGGGGAGTGGAAATATTTTTTTCAAGCTAAAGCAATGCAAGGCCCCGGTTCCCATAGCCAAAGAATGCTGGAGAAAGTCACCAGGCAGGGGTATCCTGTGTGGGGCTGGGGCAGGACTAGGTACTCTGCCTGCCTGGCCTGAGGCTCCTCCCGGCCTTTGGGGGGCCTCTCCCACCGTCCACTGGAGAGTGGGCCGAGGGGGACAGTCCAGGGACCCTCCATTCCTTGGGCTTGGAGCCCCTCCTTCTGATACGCAGCACTAACAGCCAGGCCCTCTTGGGGTCTCTCTTGGTGGCTTCTTGGGTCTCTAGACTATTACAGGAGTGACACAGATGACACCTTCGAAGCCCGTGAAGAAAGCGTGGGGGATGAGGTTTTTGACACCGTCAACTCCTCCATCGTGTCTGGCGAGAGCATCCGCTTTTTTGTCAATGTCAACTTGGAGATGCAGCCCTCCCAGGCTGGTATGGGGGCTGCAGCAGGGACAGGCTGGGGAGGGCAGAGGACGGGGCACGTAGGGCCCCACTCTACCAAGAGAGGCCCAAAGAGGCGGGTGGCACCCTGAGCCCTCCCCCTTTTCTCCGCAGAGAGCGAGGCCGCACACGGTGGCTGCGTGCTCCTACACACCTCCCGCAAGGTGAGCGCCCGGCCTGCAGCGTGGTCCCGAGGCCCCTAGTTGGGCCAAGGTGGCTGCTTCCCTTAGATTCCTCGTGCTGTTTCCCTGTCCCCATGCCTCCAGGAGCACCCCAACAAGGGTCTCAAACTAGGCTGAGGCTGGGCTGCTGGGACTGGTCCCAGTGGGCAGGGGGAGCCGGGGACCACCATGGAGGGAAGGGCCTGGCAGTGACAGTGGTCTCAATCATGGCTCTTTGTGGTTCTGTGCCTGGGGTCCCCTCAGTACCTGAAGTTAAAGAACTTCAAGGAAGAGATCCGTGCGCACCGGGACCTAGATGGCTTCCTGGCGCAGGCCAGCATCGTCCTGAATGAGACGGCCACCTCACTGGATAACGTGCTGCGAACCATGCTGCGCCACTTCGCTCAGGACCCCAACAACACCGAGCCTGACTGCAACCTGGACCTGCTCATGGCCATGCTCTTTACCGATGCCCCCACGCAGGGGAAAGGTACAGCGTTTCCTGGGCTGGCGGGGAGGTCGTGGGAGGTCAGGAGGTGGCAGGCTGACCTGCCCCCTACTCTGCTCTGTCCTTAGTTCACCTGCTGTCAGATACCATCCAGGGAGTGACTGCCACGGTCACAGGTGTGCGATACCAGCAGTCGTGGCTCTGCATCATGTGAGTTGCCAGGCCACTTGTCACATTGGAGCTGGGCGTCCCACGTTCCTGCAGAGGCTGGCTCCCTACAAGTGCCGCTGCTCTGGCGCCTGTCGGAAGGAGAGGGTCGGGGCGCTGCATCCCATTTGGTCTCTGTTGCTGCCTTAACAGCAGTTACCAAGGGTCAAAGTCAGGGGTTCTGGGTGGGGGGAGCCCCAGCTCCACAGGTGGCAAGTGTGTGCTATGTGCCCTCCCCTCTCCCTGCCAGCTGTACCATGAAGGCCCTGCAGAAGCGGCACGTGTGCATCAGCCGCCTGGTTCGCCCACAGAATTGGGGGGAAAATTCCTGTGAGGTTCGGTTCGTCATCCTGGTGCTGGCCCCACCAAAGATGGTGAGTAGAGGTCTTGGGGTGGCTCCACTTTCTGGGGAAGGGGGTCCCAGGTCCCCTGTCTTCTGCGTGTCAGAGGTGGCCCTAGTCCTGGTCTCTGAAGGCCTCCCCTTCCTCTCTGCCTGTTCTTGCTAGTCCCTGCCATGTCCCGGTTTGCTCCAAGGTTGCCCAGGAGGCTGTATTTCCTTCTTGACTGAAAAGAAACGCTTTTTACAATTATTCTTATTCAAACGCAGGGGCCTTTCTTTGGCCTACCCCCACCTTAACCCTTCTAGTTGGCTGACTTTATGATTTGCTGGCCAAAGATCCATACTCCGTCCTGGACCATACACCCGCTGGGCAGAGGCCCCCTGCTTTTGTGAGGGCTGCAGCTGATTCAGTTTGGGGAGTCTTCTTTTAAGGAAAATCCTGAATAGAAGATTGCTAGGACCCCTCCCACAGCCTCAAAGGGGCCTTAATGCTTAAGCTTCTGTTAGCTTCTTGACGATTCTGCCCCTGCCTCTGGTGCAGGCCTCCCTCCTCTGGCTTCCCCTGGGCAGAGGGGCTGCTGAGGGGAATGTCCCTCCCAGGGATCTCATAGACTGCTGTGAACCTCCCCAAATGTTCCCATGCTGGTGAGGGAGGAAGGGCAGCTCACGGGTCAGAAGGAGTGACCCCCAGCAGGGTGACCAGAGGGCAGAAGCAGCTGTATCCTAAAGCTGAGTTGCTAGACTGGTGCCTCGGGCAGGTCGGCCAGCCCCTGACACCGTGCGCCTCCTGTTCTGAAGCATGGAGTGCACAGAGCCCCAAGACCACAGCCAAGAGCAGGGGACCTGGGCTGGGGAGGTGAGCAGGTTGCTGTGGGGGCTGGACACTGAGTTCATGGTTCAAGGTCAGTTCTGACCTTGGCCAAGCAAGAGGGAGAGGGCCTGGATCCCCCCTCTGAAAATCAAATAAACCAGTAAACAGTACAAATACCACTGGCGAAACATAGCTGGGTAAATGCCTTTGTCTATTGTGATTTCATTGTCCGTGATTACACAGATTTTTGTTGCTTAGAACAAAATTAATATCTGAGTTTATTTATAAGAAATCATGAGTTCATAAGAAAAATATAGATCGATGGTGGTTCTGGTGACCGGCTGACTTGTTGGAAATTGTGGTAGGGCACACTAATGCCTGGACTTGAGGGAACAACACCTGCTGCCAGTTCCTGCAGAGAGCACCTCCACCTGCTTTGGGAACACCCGTGATTGGCAAGGGCAGGGCTTCTCCTGCTCCCCGGGGGCTGTGGATGTGACTCTGACATCCTCCACCCCCAGAAAAGCACCAAGACCGCAATGGAGGTGGCACGCACATTTGCCACCATGTTCTCGGACATCGCCTTCCGCCAGAAGCTCCTGGAGACCCGCACAGAGGAAGAATTCAAGGAGGCCTTGGTGCATCAGAGACAGCTGCTCACCATGGCCAGCCAGTGTCCAGCGACGAGAACGAAAGATCACAGCGTGGTCTCCTTCCATGGCCACAGATACCCGCAGGTACAGGGTAGAGGTGGCATGGGCAGGAGGGGACATGGGCCGGACAGGGCTAACAGGCACTCTGTCCTTTCCCCCAGCCCCTGAAGTGCAAGGACTTTGTCCCTTTTGGGAAGGGTATCCGGGAGGACATCGCACGCAGGTTCCCTCTGTACCCACTGGACTTCACTGATGGTAGGTGCCCTGTGACCCATCCGGAGCTTGGGTTCTCAGGACCCGGGCCCATGTGTGTGCCAATCCTGCATCCCCAACACACTCTCTGTCCCGCCCCCCATTCCTAGGCATTATCGGGAAAAACAAGGCCTTGGGCAAGCACATCACCACCACCCTGTTCCTCTACTTCGCCTGCCTCCTGCCCACGATTGCTTTTGGGTCCCTCAACGATGAGAACACAGACGGGGCCATCGGTGAGGGGCCGGCGGTGGGTGGGGTGTGCCAGGCAGGGCCTGGGGCCGTGGTGCCTGCCTGACCCGCCCACCCCCGCAGATGTGCAGAAGACCATCGCCGGGCAGAGCATCGGAGGCCTCCTGTATGCGCTTTTCTCCGGGCAGCCGCTGGTGATCCTGCTGACAACCGCGCCCCTGGCGCTCTACATCCAGGGTGCAGTGGGGTTGAGGCGGGAGATGGTGCCCAAGGTCCCTCGTCCCGGCTGGGCCCTGACCCCACCCTACCCCCCTGCCTGCAGTGATTCGAGTCATCTGTGACGACTACGGCCTGGACTTTAACTCCTTCTATGCATGGACGGGCCTGTGGAACAGTTTCTTCCTCACGCTTTATGCCTTTTTCAACCTCAGCCTGCTCATGAGTCTCTTCAAGAGGTGACTGGTCCTTCCCTGAGCTGCTGGGACCCTTGAGCTGGGGATCTGGGTCAGCCTCATGCCAGCCTCTGAGGCTCTGCGACCCTAGGCTGAATGGGGAGCCCCACCATATTGCTGCCCTCAGGGGCTGGGGTGGGCTCACTGGGCAAGGCCTGGGGCCCGGGTGCTCTTAGCGGCAGGAGGAGACGAGGGGCCATGCACAGCCTCAGGGAAGCGTCTGGCCACCCCGTGACACATGCACACCCCCTCTTATGAAGCCCATCGCCTCCTGGCAGGTCGACGGAGGAGATCATTGCCCTCTTCATTTCCATCACGTTCGTGCTAGATGCTGTCAAGGGCATGGCTAAAAGTGAGTGCACAGCAGTGGCCACCTCCTGCAGGAGGAGCTAGGTCAGGATAGGGGGCTCTGGGCTGTGGCCTGGCCAGGCTGACAGGACGGGCGCAAGCTGAGGGTGCTCTCCTGGTCGGGGTGCTCTGGGAGCCGCGGCTGGCGGAGAGCAGCAGCCCCACCTACTGGACGGCGACGGGGCTGCAGGAGGAAGCTGGGCCCTGGCCTCCCAGAGCCCAAATGGCTGAGGCCTGTGGGCCCTCTTCACAGTCTTCTGGAAGTACTACTATGGGCAACACGTGGACGACTACCACACAAAGAGGGCTTCATCCCCGGTGAGCCTGGAGGGCCTCGGCACCAGCCTCAACGCCAGCCTCCACACCGCCCTCAACACCAGCCTTCTGGCCAGCCCCACGGAGCTGGGCACAGCGGGCAGCCTGGGAGCCGTGCACTCGGGCCGGGCGACTGCTGTGCTCAGCCTCCTCATCATGCTGGGCACACTCTGGCTGGGCTACACCCTCTACCAGTTCAAGAAGAGGTGAGGGGGCTAGGGCTGAGGGGAGGGTCACGGAGCCCACAGGCCGCGCTGACCACCCACCTGTCTGCAGCCCCTACCTGCACCCCCGCGTCCGCGAGGTCCTGTCTGACTGCGCCCTGCCCATCTCGGTGCTCGCCTTCTCCCTCATCAGCTCCTACGGTTTCCAGGAAATTGAGAGTGAGTTGGGACTGGGGGAGGGTGGTGTGGGGCTGCTTCCTGGGTGCTGCGGGTGCAGCAGGGGCCTGTCCTCTGCTGCAGTGAGCAAATTCCGCTACAACCCCAGCGAGAGCCTGTTTGAGATGGCCCAGATCCACTCGCTGTCCCTGCGGGCCATCAGCAGCACCATGGGCCTTGGCTTCCTGCTCTCCATGCTCTTCTTCATCGAGCAGAACCTGGTGGCCGCCTTGGTTAACGCCCCAGAGAACAGGTATGGGGGCTGGCAAGGGTGGGGGCCCGACCCTCTGGGGGCCGAGGGGGCTCAGTGCCCGTGTACCCGCCTGTTGCAGGCTGGTGAAGGGCACGGCCTACCACTGGGACCTCCTGCTCCTGGCCATCATCAACACGGGGCTGTCCCTGTTTGGGCTGCCCTGGATCCACGCCGCCTACCCCCACTCCCCCTTGCATGTGCGAGCGCTGGCTTTAGTGGAGGAGCGCGTGGAGAACGGGCACATTTATGAGACGTGAGTGTGAGGGGCCCTTTGAGACCTGGGAGGGATGTGACCCTGTGCACGAGGGTCCAGAGGTGAGGCTTGGCCCTGGGACACCGCAGGATCGTGAACGTGAAGGAGACGCGGCTGACCTCGCTGGGCGCCAGCATCCTGGTGGGCCTTTCCCTGCTGCTGCTGCCCACCCCGCTGCAGTGGATCCCCAAGCCCGTGCTCTACGGCCTCTTCCTCTACATCGCGCTCACCTCCCTCGATGACAACCAGCTGTTCCAGCGTGTGGCCCTGCTGCTAAAGGAGCAGGTGAGCGCCTGGCCCTGGAAGGGAGGGCTGCAGGTGGGGATTCAGCCTCTGCCTGCCCACACCTGGTCCCTGCCGCCCGCAGACCGCGTACCCCCCGACGCACTACATCCGGAGGGTGCCCCAGAGGAAGATCCACTACTTCACAGGCCTGCAGGTCCTGCAGCTGCTGCTGCTCTGTGCCTTTGGCATGAGCTCCCTGCCCTACATGAAGATGATCTTCCCCCTCATCATGATTGCCATGATCCCTATCCGGTACGGGGCGCAGCCTCGGGCGGGAGAGTGGGTGGGCTGGGACAGGCAGCGGGCAGGAGGGGCCCAACGAGGCCCTCTGGGTGGGCTGGGGGGCCCAGCACCTTCTCTCTGTCCCTGTGCTCATCTTCCCACCCCTCCCTCCTCTCCTCTCCAAGCTACCTCCTGCTGCCCAGAATAATTGAAGCCAAATACTTGGACGTCATGGATGCTGAGCATGGCCCGTGATGGCAGGCGTGGGCACACCCCGTCCACCGCCCCCCGCCCCCTGCTCCAGGCTGGCTCTGGGGCTGCGTGGGGAGGTGGGCTCTGGGTGGTTGCCGTGCTGCGCGCTCACCCGGCTGACTCAGGCTTAGCCGTCTGGGCATTGTGGGGGTTCAGTGGTGTGTGCCCAACCCTCTCCCTATTATCCTTTAGCTTTGGGCCACGAACGTTGCTCAGGGCACCTACTGCCCAGGGTGGGACTAAGCAGGATGGATTTTCTTTTGATAAAAGAGTCAATGCCTGAAAGAGAAACCATTTCCTTGATTGTGTAAGGAACTCACTGTGTGCACATTAGAGAATAAAGCTCTTGTTTCTATGCGTCTCTGTGCTACCTCTGTCCCTGCTACCGCCACACCAGCCCCACACTGGGGAGGAGAACCCCTCCCTGGGGAAGTGGAGTGAAAGGGACGGGTATTCGTTGAGCACCACCTTTGGGCTGTGACCTCCCACCCTGCACAGTGGATGTTGGTCCAGCATGAAACCTGGAAGCTCCAGGAGGCCTTTGCGTAGCCGTTTCCAGGACCTGCAGGGACAATGTTCTGAGAACAGCATGTGCAAGGGCCCAGAGGAGAGGGCCTGGGCCCATGAGGTGCTGTGGCTGTGGCAGCGAGCAGTGTGGCGTGGAGGGACCAGCAGGGCTGACAGCAAGGGGCCCAGTGACTCAGGTGGAAGCTGCCTGAGGGGAGCCGAGGGGGGACTGGGAACAGGCTGGGGGTTGTCAGAGCAGCAGTTCTCAACTATCCCGTCTGCTGCGGATCTGAGGTTTTACAGGTGCTGCACTCTCACCAGGGCAGTGACAGTGCCGAGGTGGGGGGAGGGAAGTGGAACTGCAGATGGCAGGATGTGGGGGTCTGGGAAGCAGGGAATACGGACCTGAGGCTGGGGGGGTGCCCTGTGCATACCTGGGAGCAGCAGCAGTGGTAGACAGCCTGTCGCCTCACCTTCCAGGACTCTGGCTTGACAAATGCCCCATGGACTAAGGTAGCAGCCCGAGAGAAGAGATTGGCTACATCTAAGACTGGAAAGGACTAATATGTAAAATATGCAGAGAATTCCTGCAAACCAGCAAGAAAAAGCAGCTCCAGTAGAAAATAGGTAAAGGCTGCGATCAGGAGAAGAGGGAGCCCCAAGCAGGAATGAGTGGCAGGAGATGCTCAAACCCAACAGAAACACAAGCCAGTCGTGAGGTGCCACCTTACACTGGGCAGACCGGGTGGTGCTGGGAGGGGGTTGGGGACCCCTGTGCGGGCCGAGGGTGGGTGCGAGCACGTCCACCCTGCTGTGTGGAAAAGCCAACTCAAACTGTGTTTTCCCTCCCCTGCTCTCACACACGGCAACAATCAACACAGAAGACTTCTAGGGCCAAATAAGGGGACCTCGCCCCACCTGCCAACAATCAGTTCTGCAGCAGTCGTCAGCTGGGCATCCTCCAGTTAAGTTCTGCTACTGTCCACCTGGAGATAGCCTCAGATGCCACAGGTTGAGGGCTCAGTCCCACAAGACCGCCCCCCTCCTTCCCGCCAGTCGCAAGTCTGGGTCTCCAGAGCTGCTGACCAACCGGCTTCACGTGAGGGTTCCCGCAAGCCTCCCTTTGGGTTTGACGGATTGGCTAGAGCTGCTCACAGACGGAGGGGAGCACGGTTACCGGTTTAATGTAACGGATGTTACAAAGTACAGACAAAGAGATGCGTGGGGCATGGTGTGGGGAAGGGGCGCACCTTCCAGAAGCCGCCTCGTGTCCAGCTACCTGCTACCCAGCTTCCCAGTGACCAGCCCCCGTCCTAAAGCGTCAGTCAACCATTAGCACACAGAAAGACATTACTTGGGAAATTCTAAGCATTCTAGGAGTTGCCTACCAGGAAACTGGGGTGAAAGACCAAATATATATTTCACAATATCACAGTAGCTAAAGTCAAAAAAAGGTGTTGCATGCATGCACAACTCTGGAGGAGCTGTGCAGCGAACAGGGAGGGGTGCCAAACCCCCAACCCAGGTGGCACGTGATTATTCTTTGGGGCCCCATCGCCAGGAGCCGGGGTGTTCCCTGCATGTGGGGCCGCACTCAGAATCACCCAGCAAGGAGCAGGCAAGCCCTCAGCACCGCACGTCTGAGGACCAGCCAGACTTTACCCACCTACCCAGGAAGCTGGGCAGGGGCGCAGCGCCTTCTGGGAAACCACCCAGCTGCGGCAAGAGAGCAGTGAAGAAATGTTCTGTCCTCACCCACGCACACGGCCTCTGTGTAGGGGAAAAAACAGTTCTCAGAACTGTTCGATCCAGGTCCTGGGCCACCTTGCCAGGACTAACAGGGACTGCAGGGAACTCTCTAGAGCTGCTTGTGAGCACAGAATTAAGCCTGGGAATGACCCTCCAGACTGAGCAGCCCCAGCCCCACCTGCTTCCTGACCTGACCTCCCTTGGGGTTGGGCACTGCTTACCGGAGGATCACCTGCAGGAAATGCAAGGAAGTCACATAGGCCCTAAAGTCCCTCCAGGGGAACGGCTTCACTAGGGCACAGCAAGGGTCTGGGGCAGCTGAGCCGGGCCTCCTGAGGGGTCTTAGTCCCCAGACTGAACTGTGGCATGTCAACCCAACTGGGGTCAAGAACTCCATCCCCCTCTTCCCCATAAAAATGAACTTGGGGACAGCATGGCAGTGGCTCATGCCTGCAATCCCAGCACTTTAGGAAGCTAAGGCAGAAGCATCACTTGAGGCCAGGACTTCGTGACCAGCCTGAGCAACATAGCCAGA